TGTTTCACATGGATTTTTTTCACCATATGAACACAAACATATGTGAAACAATAGCTAAAATAATAGTCTTTGATGAAAAAAAATCATGTAAAAAAATATTCTTATGTCGGTTCTCACAGGTTCGTAACCTTTTTTAGTTCTCATTTGATTATCGTCCTATATATATATATATATCCTTGTCTTTGATACAAATATGTAGAATTTCATGTTATTGTTATAAGCCTATTAAGGTTCTCCATGCTTCTTGTATTTCATTTCTGTTGAAGTTGATAAATTCATTTTCTTGGTAACTTCTCTCAGATTATTACTTTCGACAACTATGGTGTATCAGGTCATTGTAATCACCGTGATGTACATCGAGGGGTGCAGTAAGTGCCATTGCTTTATGAAGCTTTTGTGGCAAACTTAATATTAGCAAGCATGTTTTCCTCAACTACTTCATTTTGGTCTTTCTCAATTTAGGGGATGTTTGGATGTGCGCTTTGAAAGTTATTAAATTTCACTTATCAATTTCTAGTATTTGGGTCACCTGCTTAAATAAGCAGTTTTTGAATGATACCAGCAGCAACAAAACCGGTTAAGGGTAGGGGTAAATTACTTAAATATCCTTGTGTTACTTTTTCTTTTATCTATTTATTAAATAATCAGAATTTGCCAAAAACACAACTCCATCAAAGGTGATGATTACAACTTCAACCACAACATAAGCACATCCAAAGTTTTACCTCCTGTATCATGTTCTGTTATATGTGATTATCTGATTGTGCTTTTTCAGTATCACATAATCACTTTCAAGACAGACTTTCAAACACACCTTAATTAGTAATATGGCTTGCCATTGGTGAAAATAGTACTATTTGGATTCATAAAGCTTCAAAAAAGAATATATGCAGCAAATATGCATTATAAATAATGATATTAAAACGTTGGAAGTGATTGTTCTCTTTCTCTTCTATCAGAAGGTTCATGCTTGATACTTCACATCGAGAAATTGAAGCCTGGGAGCTGGTAATTTTTCTTTCCCATGCATTTTCTTTACATTCAGCTTTTTAGTTTTATATGTACCGGATTCAATAGGAAAACAATGTGCGACAAACCCATTGTTTTCTCTATAATATGTTTCCTATCCCAAATTAGTTGGGACGGACGGGCTGACAATGAAACCAAAAGATATTAGAAAATGGTGCGATTCAAAAACAAACAGAAAGAGGTGAGTCCCTCTAGATTTCAGGGACATCAATGATGTCTTTCCACACATTGTTATATAAGATCAACTCCTTATGAATATGACACTCATGAAAGTCCCTTTACACTATCTTCTTCCTGCCCCCAAGTCCCCCTATTTTATATGCTATGTGAAATTGCATGCTGTTTTATGTATGGTTAATCTCACCAAATATGTTATGAAAATAACGTTTGTTCGATATGAATGTGTTCATTTAGAACATGACACTTTTAGAATTGAAGCATGATACTTGTAAGCTATGCTATATTATAAAGCATTTAGGTTTTTGTTCTTAAAAACTCTTAAATTTTTCAAGGGTACAACTTATAAAACATTTACAAAAATCTTTAAATGTCAAGAAGAGAGTTTTTCTAAGGTCAATCAACCAAAGAAACAACAGAATGGACTACAAAATAATCTCTTTTGTTTAACTTGTGATAATGCTTTTGTGTGTGCTTTATAGGTGAGTACTAACATAGTCCGCAAGTACAGCGGGCCAATTGATATCTGGTTGTCCTTCTGGACTGCCCATCGTTCTTTGAATGGACAAATGCATTGCTTGCTAAATGAACATCCTCTTAGAAGCTATGTTGCAATGTCACAGCACCTGACCCAATGGGTATGGTACGTATCTTTACACGCGCCTTAATCGTACCAACTTCTTGCATTTAAACAAGAATGACTCAACCTTTAAAAAGTTGGGAAGTTGATGATGGTTCTTTTATTAGATATAATCATCTCAAAAGTCAACCTGTGATAAGGTTCTATACAAAATACAACTAATTGCAAAAAGGAATTGCTTTTATTTTGAGCTACACATTTGGTTTATTGCAGCACCAAATGTTGACTACATCTTTCTTTAGGCTTACTTTTGATCATGGTTGAAAATTTTCAGGTTTCGGAAGCTTTTTGTTTCATTTTCTAGTTATACATATGTGAATACTTTGAGGAAGACCAACAAATAACCAGTGGTGCCATTTAATTCTGGGGCATAGGTTAAGTTTTATATTGTGTTTTTCAAATAACACATGCTTATATATATATACATACATATATGTATACATACATATATGTATACATATATGTATACATACATATATGTATACATACATATATGTATACATACATATATGTATACATATATATACATATATATATATATATATATATATATATGAGACCGTCCTGTTTTTGTGAGACCTTTTAGACTACTTTTTTACACTTAAAACTTCACAACAAAACACTGTGAAGGTAAAAAATGTCAAACATTCACAGTGTTTTACTGTGAATTTTCAAGTATATAAAAGTGGTCTCATGAAAACTGACTGGTCTCATGTGATCCCAATTTTATATATATATATATATATATTATATACACAAAAGATCCCCTGTATCTATAAAATTATTTAATTTTGAGTTCGTTCATGTTGGCCATTTGTAGTAATGCAACTGTTATCTGATATAATCATTCAAATTTGATGCTCTTTTTTTTTTGCAATGTTTTTATATCAATGCGTTTTGAAGATATACTTATTTGCTTTCAAAGTTGAAAAGTGAAATGTAATTTTATTTTTCAATCTTTGTGAAGATTCCAATTTGGTTTCTTTCGATAGGGTCGGAAGAAACAAGATTTGTGGGAGGGTGTAGCCATTAACGCCTTCGTGACTTTTCCATAGATAGCCATAAAAATGTCGTCATTTTAGACCTGTAATCATTATTTTTTTTAAGTATATAATTTTTACATATGGCATAACTCAATAATCTAGATGTAGATATGCCATTGACCCTTTGGCTCCTATTATCAATCTTCTAGCACTGTATACAGTGTTCTAAAAGGCTCATCACCTCTGTGTTGTCTCGTAGTTCAAGGCTCATGTTTGATACCCCACTTCAAGCATGTGGCATGCTATGATCTAATATGCAGTTTTTGTAATGCAATATTTGTTTTTTTTTCTTTATATTTTTAGTGTCTAATTTCAATTATTCGTATATAACCTAATTCTATAAATCATACTTTGAAACATGTCACTTTGACTGATGCATCTTGCTTTAGAGTTCAGATTGTTTGTTTCATCAAAATCATAATTTCTGCAGAAAGCCAAATGTTCGTTTTTATTCATTAGTCACGTTGAAATGAAACTCAAAATCAAAATCTATAATTGACAATAGCTAATACATGTGAATTACAAAGAAAAAGTATAAAAAAATAACCTAACATTTGAAAGTGTTCGGTCAAATAAATGTCATAATGAAAAAGGCAAGCAATTTTATGATGAGTAATCATTTTTAGTTAACAAAAAGGACAATTTTACTCTTAGCTTTTAATTGCTTCGTTGGTGTGATCTAGTCGAGAGGTTATCCAGTCATCTCAGTGAGGGATTTCTCTACGTGAATTGGTTAGATGTGTAGGGTAGAGGGGTTGTAGTACCCCCTTTTTCTTGATCCAAGCCTTTAGTGTACCACTTCATGGGTACAAGATCAAAAAGAATGCGTTGGACAAAAAAAAGTTTACTTTCTCATCATCAAGAGTAGAATTAGACATTTACTTTTGAAAGTGAACACTTATTTTGAAACAAATTAAAATAATAATATTGATACTTGTTTTGAGACAAAGAGAGTATATTTGTAAATAATTGCTTACTAATTTCTTTTCCTCTTTTGAAACTAGTAATAATAATGACTTTAGTATTAGTATTTGTATTTGAAGATTCTGATTTTTTGGATCATGTGTGATAATTTGACTAAGAAAACATGCATTCGACTTTGGAGTTAGTCCTAAAGTCTGGATTTGGTTCAAACAATTGTATCTAATCTTTTACTATATTATATATTGTTATAAACTCTTTTTAAATTCAAGTGTACAACTTAATATTATTTATGTATAACTTTTGAAGCATAAATCCAATTGATACCAATTTTCAAATACAACAAAATATGTTCACTCCTTGACCAATTCACAGTTTCAAATCTACACAAAACAAAACTATAAAAATATAATGGAGATGAAGAACAAAACAAGATTAAGGGTTCGGTTCTTGGCTTCAAAATTGAGATGCTTACGTTGGTACATAAGAATTAGGGGCCGTTTACCAAACACGGTAAAATTTTACACCATCATTTACTTACTGGGTTAGACTCTTGGTCCTTGTCTCATTCTTATCGGGTAATATTCTTGGTTCTTATCATATTCATCCGGTAAAGTAATGTGACTTGGTGTTCACTTACCCAAGTAAGCGTTTGGTAAATGGTCTCTAATTCACTCTTTATAAGTTCAGGGGACTAAAATGAAACACCAATAGAGTTGAGGGGCTGTTTTTGAACTTTTGAAAACGATTGATCATTGAAGGGTCATCTTACAAACTCTGAAGTGGCCGTACCTATTTACCTTCACTCCACCAAGCAAGTAGCTGAGCTGGGCTGGCCATGGCGAAGACAGCTTCAGCGTCTACGCCTGCTGAAACTCCTGCAAAAACTGCTCATGAGTATGCTACTAATTCTTTTCAAATCTATAATCCCTGCTACAATTGCAATTCACTTTTGCTTTCCGAAATCAGACCTAGTATTTTAGTTGCTTACAGTAGTATTTAGTTGTTTATTTTTCTTCCTAAAACGGTAGCAAGTTGTGTCGATTTTGAAATGAAGAGTGTAGTGGACTTTAATCACGTTTAGAGACGTAAATTGCACCCACCTTCGATTTTCCAGGAAAATGGCGTTGAGGCCAAGATCAAAGTTGACGATGAAGCAAAGCAGTACAGCAAAGAGGCCTAAGATGGCAGCGGCTAAGAAGAAGGCATCCAAATTAGATGCTAATAAACCCAAAAAACCGCCCACCGCTTTCTTTTATTTCTTGTATGTCTTCTCTTAACTTCATGATTTTATCCCTAATTATGTGTTTGTGTGTGTGTGTTACTTTAGAATCAAATAGAATTTGATATAGAGGTTCAGAAAGCAACTCAAGTAAATTGGATACAAAAAATGATTTTTTTTTTCACTTTTTCTATACTTTTTCTATAAAAAAGTAAATGTCCTAAGAAGACATGGTCCCAAGCCGATACTTGGCATGTCCCCCCCCTTCCAGGCCCATCACAAGGAAAACGGTCACTGCGACCCCAAATAACGAGAGATATGTAAAAAGCAGGTCCGATTACGCCTATTCCTAATCCTAAATGGAATGTAACGACGTTACATAAAAGATTGTGGAAAGGGTATATGAGCACCTATATTGTCAGAAATAGACATGCCAAAAGTGTAACCCTTATTTGTTTGACCTTGGATTAAAGAAAGAGCTTAGTTGAATATATAATTTTGGTTTTCATTCCTGATATGTGCAGAAAACTATATTTAGAAATTTGATTTTTATTTGCTTATGTTGTAAATTCTATGCAATGTCTACAAGTTGTTTATCTTAAACTAGTTTGGGTTAACTGAAAACAAACGAGAAGAAATTTATTAAATGGTGCAAACAAAAAGCAAACACAAATAGATCAACTCCTATGGTTATGGGACAATAATGGCTCCTATATAAGATCCAACCTTTTTAATAAATCTACCAAACTTCTTTGCTTACTCCCCCATGTCAACATGGTTGACCTCTGTTCTCTGAATGACCTCTTCTTCATGCAAGTCTCTTCTTGCAATTGGTACACTCGAAAGAAAGTAATTTATGGGGTAGGTCTTGATGGAATTTGTAATTTGCATTCATGGCCTGGTAAATTGCCTCACTGATAACTGCTGTATGTTATTATGCTGTTTTAATTGTAAAGTTGAATTAAGGTAAAACAAAATTGGGCATCTTGGATGCTTTTCCAGTATGACAAAGTTTTGAAATGGTGGTTGGTGAATGAAATTCTGGTTATAACCATTTCGCAACAGTCCCGAAAGGTCAAATTGTCCAAGCAGTAGATCATGTTTATATAAATTTTGGGATTGTGTTCACATACTTCACTGCAGCTACCATGATCATAGCTGTCCCCACTGGAATAATAAATCCTAGCTAACAGCTGTTGCAGCTAGAACAACCCTACATCTATGCCCAGTTAACAAAGATAATTGGGAAGCACGGGGTTAACATGAAGAATAATCATACGGCTTGCTTTTATTTGGATTGCGAGTCACATCCCTTAGTAACTATGTGCTCATGGGATATGTTGAAAATAGTAAGGCTATATATATATTACATAGGGGAGGGAGCTTTGCGAGATGAACCTGTATACTTGTACAGTTAAGTGAGTGATCTTGTTGGTAAGCTTTTACCTTCTTGTAACGTTGTAGTTTCGTTCAAGTAAGGCATTCTAGCCAATTGAAAAGATCTGCTGATCAGTCCAGAGATCATTTTGATTCCTTCTGACTTCTTTTATAAGTTTCTCTAATTTATAAATAAAATATGATTTGGATAATTGTTTAGGTAGCACACATGAAGTACAATTTTCTTTCACTGTGGGGATTGGAACCCTCTTTATATCTTAGAACTAGTTGTTTAATGATCTGAGACACCATGGATAACTCTAACAACTTGCAACATTGCACTTGCAAAGTTCAATAATCTCTATTCGTCTTGGCTTAGTCGGCCGTTGATTACTGTTAACAAGAACATGAACTTTGTTTCAGGGCTGTATCATCATGTGGCTAAAACTTTGGTACACTTGGGATGGATTATCTTAGGTGCTAGAATTGGGATTTTTCTTATAATTTTGACAAGGATTCCTTATAATCGTGTGTGTTTTCAGAATATGCATGTAAAGATATCCTTCGTGGAGCATCCGGTTTAAAAGGTTGTGGTGAAAGATGATTGATCCCAGTTTGTGTCTTGTTGGTTCTCGGAAAATGGTTATGTAGAGGAGATACTTAAACACACAATATAATTTCAGAAACCTTTTTTATGATATGAAAATTTTGCTAGATGATAGCCTGTTACAGGGTTAAATGCTCTCATATTTGGGTTTCATGGTGAATGAAATGCGTCTTGTGGGCTTACTCCTGTATCAGATGAGAAAACCTGGAGTCCGTAGCTTAGCTATTCATCTGTTCTCTTTTGTTCGAGAGAAACCTGATTTTTTCCTTCTGATGTCAACCCTTCTATAGAGAACCCAAAGGCTGAAACTCTTTCAGGTCACCACTTGAATCCAAGACCTCTAGGTTATCATTAGGAAGTCTCCACCACTTAAGAAAGCAAAGTTGGGGATCCTAATGCAAATATAATGGCAGAATATTATCTACTTGTAGCATAAACCAAACCAAACCAACCCGGTAAATCCCATGCAAAGTAGGGCCTTTGGCTGCCCACCCCCGTTTTTGGGGGGGGGGGGGGGGGAATGTATGCAGGTCTTACCTCCACTCCAAAGAGTAGAGAGACTGTTTCAATGAAGACCCCTGCCTATCTACTTGTAGTATCTGCTATAAATTTTAGCTTATCAATTTTTCTCCCAAACTAAAGGAATTCACATGTATTTCGTAGTTTCACTAAGTCCTAAGACTTTCCAACCTCGTTGTATTCTTAGTTGAGAAAGTACTTGGTTGCTAGTCCCAGTCGTAAATTTATGTTAACTCTTGGTCATTGTAAACGGCTGCATCTGTTCCACTCTCTCTTTGTGTATGTAGTCTTCAAGTGTTACTTAGTTAGTCGAAGCTTTTATGCCCGGATAATTATTTTTCGTTCTTGAATTATACAGTTAACTTATAATTTAAGTGGACTTTTAAACTCGATGGTGAAGCTCATAATTGGTGCGTAGCAAAAGCACGATATAGTTTAACCTTCATTCTTTGCCAACTTAAGTAGCTATAATAAACTCTTTAAATGAAGTAACAACACTCTTTTCTCTTTGTTTGGTCTGGTTATATAGCATAATAGTTGAACTAGGATGAGGTACCTGGTAGCTATGTTCCTTCTGATATTCGTTGAGAAGACAATGATACCCTTCTTAATAATCAAAACTAAGTTTTGTTTGTTTGAAACAAAAAGGGTTTAAACTGATTCGCTTGGTTCACTTCCCAACAACTAAATATACATAAGCGATGCATGATATACGTACAGAAGGATGTAAATAGATATAAGACCATTATGGCATACCCTTATATCTGAACTGATTTCGAATTTGGAATGAGGTACCATTTGTTCATAATTTGATAAGTTGAAATAGTTTCTTCCTAAAGTGTTTGTAATGACCATTTGGCACTCAGCAGGGCTAATTTCCATGCAGCAGTGGTTAAGGGAACAAATAGTAAAACATCTGTTTGAATAATCATAAGAATCGAGCGTTGGCTCTTGCTTCTAGAATAGGATACTACATTGAACCAATTAGGATCATGTAACCAATTGATGTTTTCCAAAATGCTCTCCATCAATGCATCATTGTCTCCTCTTTGTGTAATCAATTATAATTTCAATTATTTAAGGGAGGATTTTCGTAAGGAATTCCAAGAGCAGAATCCAGATGTCAAGTCAATGCGTGAGGTGTGCACTGTAACTCATCCTTCATCGTACAACTTCTCCCTTTTCGAGACAAAATAATACTCTTTCCTCTGCTATCTGACTGAGATGCGTCTATGCTTTCATCTTTCAGATTGGCAAGGCTTGCGGAGAGAAGTGGAAGATCATGACTTATGAGGTTTGTACCATCTCAAAGTTATGCCTCGATATCTCCAATGCCAATTATTGATTATCTTGTCTTTAGATTTTGATTTGAAACTCTCTCAAGATTGATCAATACCTTTGGTGGCACATTATGATGTTATACAATCATCTTCTTCATAAATGTTATCTGAATGCTTGGATTGTGATCAAAGTATGTGTTTTACATACATGCATATATATAGAGAGAGAGGGGGGGAGAGAGAATATATGGATGTTCGAGCTGACTTGGAGAACAAGATAATCGAATCACTTACTAAAATTATGCAATATATACATAAAAAGAACCTGACTAGCCATATATGTAGCGTGTTGGGGATGGTCAATATTTACGTCCCAGATCAAGGAGTATTAGTCGTGCCAACCACCTTTAGGGTGCTATTATATGTGTTACCGTCTAGTGATCATAGGGTTTAAAGTACGTCTCTTTGATTGATAACTAGGTGAATAATTTAGAAACAAGTCAAATCTTTCTGAAACTCTCATGTTAAAGATTGTCCTCTTAACGTTTTTTCAGAAGTTAGGGATTTTCATGGAAACAGCCGATCTACTCTTTAGAGTGGGTGCTATTATGTGTTACGATCTAGTGATCATGGGTTATAAAGTATGTCTCTTTGATTGATAACTAGGTGAATAATATAGAAACAAGTCAATCTTTCTGAAACTCTCATGTCAAAAAAATTTCTCACACGTTTTTTCAGAAGTTAGGGATCTTCATGGAAACGGTTGATCTACTCTTTAAAGTGGAGGTCACGTTTGCGTAGATCCCAGCCCCAGACCCCATTGAGTGGGATATACTTCATTGGATTGGTTTGGTTTGGTTTGGTTTGGTTTGGTTTATGGCGTCCAAGACTCTAAGCCGAAATGGAGAACAAGAAAACCAAACCCTAGTACCTACTCTAAACATTGTGTACATAAGAAAACCCCAAGAAGTCAAATTTACTATAATTGTAGCCAGTTGGGCATGATCAATATGTCAAGTTTGAGTTGTGTTAGTTATGCTAGCCTCCGTTAGAGTTTTCTTCTTACATTTATAGTATAGAGTTGGTATTATTAGGGTTTATTGATCACACCCTTTAGGGTTCCCTATGCATGGAGTTATTATTTAGGTTTGGTGATCACAATCTTAATAGCGGCTCTAATACCATGTAAAATATTATATTTGTACTTCAACATTTGAGGTTAAATGCATCAATCCTAAATATATACATGGATTCTTTGAAATTTCAGAAATTATGTTAAATCCGAATATGAATTATGCTAGATGATTAAGAAGCAACAAGTCGTTTCATAACTTAGCACTTTGATTTGGCTTCTCGTGACAAACCAAAAACACTATTATTTGTGTAAGTATGGGTAGTTTGAACAAGTTGTGTAGATCATGCATTAGATATTTTTTTTGTCGATTGTTGAGTTGAAGAGAAATATGTTGTTGTGATAGGAGAAGGTCGAGTACTATGATGTAGCAACTGTGAAACGAGCGGAGTTTGAGAAAGCTATGGCCGACTATATCAACAAAAAGGTAACCCTCTCTTTTCCCTACAACCGTCGATCAATTGATTTATGGGAAAATCACCAAAAATTTGGAGATTTTGCAGCATCTGTTTCTATACTAACTAGGAAGCACTAATTGCAGGAAAGTGGGGAATACGATGAGTTTGATGAGGACTCGGATTTTGATGAATGAATATGTTGTGTTTAACGTAGAACGATTCAGACATAGGATGGATTCGATACTTTGTACAGTTAATATTGAAGCATGTCTTTTGAAACTAAACTACATGTAAATCATTCTCTTTGTACATTCTTGATTGAAGAAGAAAATAGAAAGGGAACACAAATGTGGTTTTTAGGTTTTGGTTAGTTTTCTCCTATGAATTTCAAATCATTTTTTAGATTGAATTCGGTTCCGAAACTGTTGCTTACTACCAGAATTCGAACAAAGTTGGGAGCTCTTGGAGGTCGTTGGCTCAATGGTATTTGGGTTATTGGTACAGCATTGAGGTCAAGGATTCAAGCCTCATCAAAAAGGTCATGAGAGTGTGCAAGGTTCTTTTTTCCCTTCTTTTGAAGTATATTATAAGCATTTGATAAAACAATTTTTTATGTATGATATATTGTTTATTGATGCACATTATCATTACTTAAAATTCAAGATTACAAGTAAATTTTATGTAAGTACAACTTATTAAAGCTTCACGTTTGAATTTATGTAACTAAACATAATCAAATATAGGTTAAATATTTCATTTTAGATATAAAAATTCTAAAATATAATTAAGATAAATCATTGAGTTCTAATAAAATATTTAATTATATCTTTATAAAAAATTTTGTTATTAAAC